TTTAATATGATTAATTTTTTAATTCACACAAATTAAATCATAAAATAATATCTTATTTTATTTATTTTGATATATATATATATATGGTTTTTTACTATTTTATAAAAAAAAAATACACAAAAAGGCTAAAATAACGTTTGTTTTTAACAGCTTCTGAAATTTGAAATCTTATTTCACTTATAATTAATAAGAGATGATACTGAAATCTGAAATTTGAATCAATAATACTGTTGTTTTTTATAAACTAATAAACGTCGTTGCTAAAGGTTTGAAGAACAATAAGAGGCAAATAAGAGGTTGGTTTACCTCTTACCAGATAAAAGGATAATAAGATGTAAGTCTCTGAAAAATTAGAAAAAAACAAATAGTCTAAGTGACTTTACCTTTTAATGAATCATTCATAAAAGGCTAATTAGAGTTTCTTTTCAAGAAACAAGCAAGGCTTAAATGACCCTTAATTAACGGAGTTAACGGAAACGTTAGTCAGATTGACCTGGACTAAAACAAATTAAATACCACAACAATTAAATCCGCAATAAACATACCATAAGAATCCTAGTAGAAAAATATCAAAACACAATTCACTCCATAACAATTGATGATCCTATTTTAAATGTTATTTAAAATCATGATTTGTGACTCTAATATTAAGTAATTAAACCAAATATTTATCATTTCAACTTTGTATGAAGTTCGTAAATAACTATATATCTTTACTATATTATAAAGCATTTGATAAAAACTCTTAAAAATCATTTTTTATGTATAAAGTATTGTATATTGATGCATATTACTTAAAATTTCAAGATTACAAGTAAATTATGCACAGATACAACTTATTAAAACTCCATGTTTCAATTTGTGTAACTAACTGCAGATAAAAATAATAAAATATAGGATAAACATCTCATTTTAAAATATAAAAAATCTAAAATATAATTAGGAGAATTATCGAGTTCTAACAAAATAATCAATTATTATCTTTATAAGTAAATTATATTATTAAATCAAATATAAATTATTTCGTTATTGAACCTAAATTAAATTATAATAAAAAAATTAAACTAAAAATTACACAAAAAATAAAAAGTTTTATATAGTTAATTTGTACTAATATCAATATATTTTTATCAAAATTTTATGATATCTTCACATTTATGTTTTATTAAAAAAAAATAAAAACATCATCGTTTTTTTAAGATCACATAAAATCATATTATAACATCAACTGAGATAAAAAATATATATATTAAAATCAAGATGTATATTGTTGCATTACGCGATTATCTTTCTAGTATATATATATATATATATATATAAAGAAATAAAATAAATATATATATATATATAAAAGAAATAAAATAAATAATAATTAAGATGTTTAAATTTGTTGATTAGATTATTTATATGAATTAATTTTAATTTTAAGAGAAAAAAAATATAAATGTAAGATTTAATTGCTCAAGACTTTTATATCAAGCAACCGACCAATTTGAAGTGGAAAGAGTCATATCAGATTTGTCAACTCTTTTTTTTTAAAATATCTTGCATGACCTTTTTAATTAATGAACCCGTCATTTTAATCTATTAAATTATTAATTAATCATTAAAATCCTGCTTCTTGGTTACTATATAATCATATTAAATAAATAATATATATTACAAATATAATACTTATTAAGTATTCATTTTGTATGTATGTCAAATTAATATCTTATATTATTAATAATATTATCGATATTAGTTTCATAAATATACTAATAAATGCACTTTTATTTTTTTGAAAGTAGTTTTTGAAAAAATTAAACTCTTTTGATTTATAATAAATTGATAAATGTTTTTATAGAAAAGTATGAGTTATTTCAAATAAGCAATCTCAGATATGACGACACCGTCTTAAGCAGTATTATCAATAACTTTATGACACGTAGCATCATTTATAAAAGCGTAATAACATATGAGGCCAAATTTGTAGTTGAAGCTATACCCAATTCGAATTTCATAATTACAAGGAAAAAAAATTATAAAATTGTTTATGGAAGTAATTATATGGTAATTATTGGTAAATTATGAAGGGAGATACCGAGGGCAAAATCGTGTACTTCGAGGCGCAGTCAATGGTTCTGTGACTGGGTCAATGACAGCGGTCATCAAAATCAACGGTTTGGATTGGGCCTCCCGAAATCGGCGAGTTTCCGGGATCTGTTGGCACAGAAGGACTTGGTGTTGGATAGATGTGGCTTCACCGGAGCTCTGATTTCGCCTGATAACCCGCCGTCCACCGGCATGCTTTTCTGGTTCCATTGCCGGTTAGGACTTGCACGAACCATGGGGCTCAAACAGAATGTTAAGCCGGATAAGGTCCTGGCGTGCCCCCCACCACCGCCGCGCCGGACGGGTAGATGAGCCGGTGTCCTCCGCGGCGTTTGTTTCATTGACTCCGTCGACTCGTATCCGCTTGTTGCATCGTATAATTCATCTTCATCTCCGACAGTACCATCTGAGTTTCTCACCGGTGACATTCCACGATCTGGACAGTGTAGCCTCCGGACTACACCGCCTGCGGTAGGTACAGAAGATTCATCGACATAAACCGGCCGCTTCTTCCGGTATCGACCACCGTGTATAATGTTCGAGAACCAGGAAGGTGACGACGTGGCATTACCACCACCGCGCTGTTCCCTGAAAGTTGAATCCGATGCTCCGGGAACCGAAACCGTATCCACCGAGTTCCGATTCCTAGATCTGAAAATTTTCGGAAACGAAAGCCACCGCATAAAACTCCGCTTGTGATGCGAATGACCGCCGGTGTTGTGACACCCGGTAGTAGGTCTAGGTCCTACCTGAGGCGTCCTGTAAAATAACTGATCCGAGAGGCTATGATGATGACGTGGAGCAGTAGGAGGATGAGGGTGATGATCCTTGCGACGATTGTTATGGGACCATGCGGCCGCCCCGGCCGAATGATCGGATTTCCGGTAGTTGATGTACGGAGAAACAGAACGAGGAAACACCAGATTCTTCTCCAAATTCCGGTGTTTTTGATCTAGATTCTGAGCCTGAGCATGAGCCTGGGCCTGGGATTGGGCTTGTTCTTGTGCAGCGATGAGAGACAAGAGATGTTCCCGGAGACAAGAAGCGCACACACCGACGATACTACTGAGATCGGTGTAATGCTTCTTACACCTCATCTATAGATAGATATACAAATCTGTATCTATTTAGCTTGGTACGTAATGATATCAAGAGAATCCACAAAAACTTATTGTGATTGTTGCTTTGATGACGACGACGACCTAAAAAGTGTGTGTTCCTGTTGAAATATTTTGGATGCTTGAATGCTTCATTGATTAGGCTGGCGATGAAAACAAAGATTGCTCAGATTTTGAGGGTGATTTTGATCTTGATTCAGAAATTTACAGGGGGAAGAAGACAGGATTTATGAGAGAGGGGAAGAGAGAGGAAGCAAATGGGAAGAATGTCTAATTGTTTCTTTGCTCGTACAAATTAGGGTGTGTGGGTGTGGAGGTGGGGTTGGGGTGTGTGAGAACTTAGAAAAAGGGTTACCTCCTTGCTTGGCCCTTTTTTTCCTTTAAATAACCTAAGTGCTTTTTTTTTAAATATTCATGTCTTATATAGATTACATCCAAAACTTTTAATTACATTGCATAAATGAAATAACAAAAAATATATGTTAAGAACAAAGATAAACTAAACATAAAACAATTAACAAGAAACTAAACATAAATCATTAATAATTTGAATCTAAAACCAAACAATTAATGGTTTGAACATAAATAATTCCGGCTATACTTTTACATAGATCGATAAAAAAGACCCTGAACACATGTAAATTTTGGGGTCTTGTTCAAAATCTCACATTTAACATGTTAAAGGACGATCCTGGTTTTTTGAATACTACCGTTCAAATTTTTTGAAGATAATTGGATGGTTTGTTTGATTGTTAACTTTAAGTCTTCGTGTGATTAATTGATGTTAGTACAAGCTCGCTCGAACACAGACTGTTCCAAAATAAACTTGAAGGTTACAGTTCTGAAAGACTTCTTGTTTCTCGTGATTGATCCTCACTTATGGGGTATGTTCAACTATCATTCTCGTTTAAAAAAGAAAGTTGTCCTTAAAACATGAACTACAGTTGGCAAGATGCATCATCAGTGTAAGGTAAGTGAGTTTCTTTTTTTAGCATGGATCATGGTATTGATATGGACATTGATTCTTTAATTCTTCGATAAGATCGGGTAGTATAATCCATATTTACGGTACAACTAAACATTTGTTGGATATTGATGTATGATGCGATGTTTCCGAAGGGGGACGTGGGAACACTATATGTACTTTGACGTAACATACAATGCGATCAGTGTGTATATATCACATGATCATGCAAATGTGTTTGTGAGTTAATTGACCACTCTTCGTATCACAAGGAAAAGTTAAAAACACCATCTTAATGAGTATAAATCGTAGTAAAATGGAACCACATTTGTCTTTGGTCCTGTTTTTACCATTTTAGAAAGCTAATTGTCAAAAACCTTCATTTTATAGTACCAAAATGCAACTAAGTGGCCGTTTACTAAACACTTACTTGGTAAGTGTTTACCGGATAAATTTTCTTATCGGATGAACATGAGAAGGGCCAAGAATCTTACCAGGTAAGAGCAATGAGAATGATGGAGAGTCTTACCTGGTAAGTGAGAATGACAACTCTTACCCATTAAATTATTGCATTCGATATGTTTTGATGCACTAAAATCTTACGCATCAAAATAAATCATAATGTTGACTCCTATCGGTGAACGCTTACCGGGTAAGCAATTGGATAAACGGTCTCTAACTTTATTTTCATTCATATTCTGGAAAACGTTATCAGGTTCTTTTAACCAATGAAATTAAAAATTGATTCCAAAATAATAAAATTTTAAAAATTAGTTTGGTAAAATATAAACTAACAAATTTTCAATTTTCACTTTTTATGGTTATTGGTAAATTTTATATATAAACGTATGCACTAATCCAAATACAAATAGTTGAAAAGGTATATATTACCCTAGAATTAGGGTGTGTAAAACCTGAATAGTTAGAAAACTAAAACAAAACCGAATAAAAAATGAGATGTCTGTGGCAAATGAGAATGTCCGAAATCCAAAAATACGAAACCCGACTTTTGAGAAGATATTTGGGTTCGAGTTGGTTTGATTTTTGGCCACCTGACTTGTTCAAAAACCTGAAATATATATAGTTATGAGTTTTTTTAGAAGTAGTAAATATTTGAAAAATAAAGAAGTAATTTTAGTCATTCATATGGTCAAGATCGGATTTGATTGGTCAAGAATTGTAGCTTAATTGATCAAAATTTATGGCTATATGAAAAATAGATGGGGTAAGTTCGTAATTTTTACAAATAGGGGTAAACATATGTGAACCCGTGTAATTCACATAAAAAATATTTTAACCGATTCACATTTGAACACTTGTTCACATATGAACTAATTAACTGATTTACATATGAATTAATTAACTGATTCAGATATGATGAACCAACTTGCCGTCTATTTGTAAAATTTATGAAACTACATTTCTATCTTCCACAATTCAATTCGAGAAATTATTCAGTGTTTTACAGTCAAAGACGCAGATGTTGACCAAAAATGAAGGGCTAAGATCACTCATTACTTCACAGATACTTATCACTTCTCAAATGAACTTTTCTCTACTTCTCTCTCCCCCACTCTCTCTCTTCGCAAATGTTGACCAAACAAAAATGCTAACTATTTAAAAAAAAACAAGAAAAAAATCGTTAATATACAAAATCACATGTGATTTTACATTAACGTCAAAAAATGGAAGCGGACTAATTTTGAACCTATATGATTTTCTACGTGAATATATATATATATATATATATATATATATACATGTGTGTGTGTATGTGTGTGAATCATGTATGATTTTGTATATTAACGACATTTTTCTTAAATAGTTAGCGTTATTGTTTGAACATGCCTCTCTCTCTCTATGTATATATATATATATATACACACACACAGACATCAGTAGAGATTCAAACGAGAACACATTCAGTTTACGAGAACATGAAAACACCCTTGTCATATGTGATAATACACGTGAGGGGACCGGATGATGTGCGAACGACTTGTCCAACGACTTAGGTTGCGCCAAAAATCGTTTGCGTCTATGATTTAGTATCACATGTGATGGTCTTGGTGGACCATAGTATCACATTAAAAACACTCTTATCACATGTGATAATACATATGAATTGGCTTAGTGGTGTAAGGGCGACTTGACCCGCAACCAAAGGGAATTCCAAAATTCGTTCGCATCTCTGATTTAATATCACATATGTATCATATGTGATGAAATAATAGTATCACATGTGATTGTCTATTGTAAAAACGGAAGAACACACTTTTACAATAGATATATATATATATATATATATATATATGTATGTATATGTTGCATATCACTATATACGGACCTGGCCAACCCTAACTCCGAGACATGGTTTTCATATTTGAAATCCGGTCGGATTTTGATTTACCCACGTGGAAGTTCGATGCACACCCCTACCTAGTACGGTATTACCTAGAATGAAACTTGAATCTCCAAATGTAAAATTTGAAAGTTGAAGAGCGAAAGTAGCAACAACATAAATTTGAGGGGGCGTAAAGAAAAATTGATCGGTTAGGAAAACGATAAACTGACAGCGTGGTGTACAGAAAAATACTGATCCCATGGAATACACGTACTACTTTCTCCCTAATTATTTTTTAATTCAAACAAAATTATTCCTTTTATAAAAAAATAATTAAAAAATAAATAAAAAAATCTGAAACATGATTAAAGGATTTTAAACGATAACAAATGACAAAAAATAATTATGAGAAAACTATTTTATTTTGTTAGGAATAAAAATATATTTATTTTTATAAAACATAGAATATGATATGTTAACAATTAAAATATTAATTTATAATTTCTTTTTATGGTCCATTAGATTTGTTTTTTTGTTTTGCAACAGATAAATATAACTTCATTTTTATACTGAAAATATCTCTAATTAAAAGTTTTTATAAAAACTATTATTAAAAAGAGTTCTTATTTTAGTAGTTTTTATATAGTTATTAATGTTGAAAAAAGTAAAGAAATAAATGCATGAAATATCAACCTACTTTCGTAAATTTTTTTATTATGATATTTTATTTTTGTTTTTATTTATTACAACAATGTACTTTCAAATTATATTATTATTAATGCATCATACTTTAAAAAATCTATCCATTATAACAATGGGTAACTTGTTGCCTTTTAAACCGGTTAATCTCTTGACTTTTTTTGCTTGTAGGGTTTTAATGAGGTGATGTGGATAACACATCATTCTGATAACTCAATTAAAATAAAAATAAAATTCTATTTCAAATTATTATTAGTATTTTCATTTTTCATTGCTATGATTTAAAAAAAATATTTGATTTTTTTGATTTTTTCTTATTAAGTTGCATGCAAATTAAATATTCTAGAGTGAAATATTTCTTAAATAAATATGTTACATTATTTTTGAGATATGTTTTGTTTGTAAAAAATGTAACACTTCTTATTTTATGTTGTTCAAAAAAATACATAGCTTTTAAAGTTCTTTATAAAATGTTAACGAAATATAATTATATTCTAATTTTTTTTAATATTGTTATATTAATAAATAATTCAAAAAATCTAATTAATTTAATATATTTATACGTCTAGTAAAAGTTTTTGGACAAATATAATATATTATTTTAAAAGATAATATTTTTTGGTAAAAAATGAACAATTCTTATTTTCTTTTTTCAAAAAACACATATTTTTTTTTAAATATTAGCGAGATAAGTTGTCTTCTGCTAGTTTTATTAATATTGATATATTAATGAATAATTTAGAATTTGTTTAATTCATTTAATATATTTACTAAATAACATGTAAAATATCTAAATATTAAAATTAAAAATACATTATTTAATAAAAACTAGTAGATGTTATAATAAAATAATTTTGAAAGTACAATATTGTAATAAGAAAGTCACATCACTATAGTATATGTGGAAAGCCTACGTGGACAATGAGATAGCATAGAAACCTGGTATAATAGGTAAATTTAAATCAAAAGGTT